TGACTCCAAATGGGCCCGAAGTGTCAACTACCTGCTGGGTGGCCCCTGCAGCCTCAGCCAGGGTGAACCCTTCCTCAGCACCAATGTCCCAAACAACCTATTTTTTTGGCCTTAACTTGGAATTTTAGAAACAGGGCATCATCTGTGTCTCTGAGATGGAAAATAACAAATGAGAGTCCAGCATCTTCAATTTCCTAGTCCTTTGCCAGCTGCTAGTCACTGACTGAGATTTACAAGGCACATGTAAGGAGGCAGTCCCCTAAAGAAGCGGCATTTTTGTTACTATAGTGTTGGGTTTAAGTCTCCAAACCCTCTGAGGGATCCCTGACCTGGGAAGCTTGTCTGGGCTGGATCCCCTGCCAACCAAAACCAGGACTTTTTCCCAGGCCTGGCAGGCCAATCTCAGAGGCGGGGGTAAAAAGCAGGATGATCGGCCTCCTTGGCCCCTGGTCCCCACTTCAACCCTGGTACTCAAGGCCTTCTTTCTCCAAGACAAGAAGCAGCGTTGAGAGATGAATCCAAGGTAACACTCAAATCGTTTCTCTACAAAGTGCAGGGCAGAACCAAGCGTACACCACCCACCGAATACACAGCCTTTCTCAACACAGAAAATGGGATCAGGTGGAGCCATAGGCCCAATAACTGTGCTCTGGGGTGAGAGTTCTGAGAGGGAGAAGGTCCCAAGGAGACTCAAAAAAAGGCAGATTCTGTGGAGCAAATCCAGGCCCAAATACTCCCAAGCTCACCCTCTCCTCCCCTGACCCCCTAGGACTCTAGATCCGAAGGATCCTATGGAGGCTCCAGCCGCTATCAGGGCACCCATCTGAGGCCAGACTGGCCACTGACACAAGGAATCGAGAGTCAGGAGAGCGTGGACTTAATACAATTCTTCTGCATCACACTGTGTGAGCTTGGATACCTCCGCATGTTCACCTGTAAAGTGGACATAATGAAACCTGCCTCAAATAGCTCAGAATTCAGGGAACATGCGTAGATTTTTGTAAACTGTAAAGTTCTGTACAAATGCACAAGATCATTTTTATTATTCCATAGAGTGGGTTCTTATTAAGTGACAAAATTCTCTCAAGACCACGTGCAGGTGAGACCGGCATTTCCTGTTTCAGCGCCTAGGAACACACTCCAGTTGGTCCCTGGTGCTGGCCTGAGGCCTTCTTCCTATGGCTCTGAGCGCTTCTGTCCAAGGACACCTCTGTAACACTGAGTTGTCTTCACATGTGCCCAAGGAAGACTCTCTTCCTCTTGGCTGTGCAGACATCACAACATCTTCCCCCAGAGTTGGTTTCCATTGAGACCCAGTGGCCTCTTCCCCAAGGGAACATTACTCATTCAGTTATAGCTTAATCGGACATTTCCGCGCACCGTAACTCAGCTTGGAAGACTCTCAAAAGGATGTGGGCCTCCTGGTTTGTCTTGGACTTTCCTAGTGCTACTGAGTCAGTCTCTGTCATCGGCCCACACTGAGGCTGCTGGAAACACCCGCATGACGAGCTCATGGGCAAATCATGAGATGCTGCTCCCATCCTGGGGACATAGTCAATATAGGGGCTCCAGCGCCCCGGGTTCAAATCCTGGCTTTGACACTATCTGTTAATGTTGGGCTCCTCATCTATAAAACATGGATAATGTAGTTCTTCCCACCTTATCAGCTTATCATCAGGATTAAATGGCATAAAATGTACATTAGTAAATAACATAAGGTGTTAAAAATGAACTTTAACTTACTACTGAGTTTGTACCATTAGCTACTGACTTAACTTCATGTTTTTGGCTTCTTCTTTCTCATACTAACTGTTCCAAATAAATAATAAAGAAACTAACAGCAAACAAGTAAGTACATGCCTTCTGCTAACTGGGAAGGTTATAATGTCATTTTATATTTTATTTTACCCCAGCCCCACATGTGTGCTCATCAGTGCTCCTGGCACTGGACAGTAATTTTTGATGTGCTTTTCTATTTCCTCAGTTAGACTACTAACAAATTAAGGTTAAGAAAAAAGCACGTCATGCGGTGCCTTGCTGAATAATGTTCAGTAAATGGCAGTTGTACTATTAGTCCCTGGAATTATCACTCACATTCATTCTGCTCTGGAGGCATTTTCTGCCTTCTAAAATTACAGCTCATGGAGAGTCCCTGCAGATGAAAGGTCCACCTGGTCAAAGATGGACTTTGTGCTGCTTTCGGCAGGAAATAGAATGAGATTCATTTCTGCTCATTGAGGGGTCTCTGGACTCAGCTGGCAGATGCTGTTAAAGAGCCATAGCTTCTGAGCATTTCATTTCCCTCCGATGATCACACGACAAGTGTTCTGAGTCACAAGCCCTTTCGGAACTTAAGTGTGCAAAGGGTGAAATCTTCCCTCTGGTGGCTGAGACTTGGGGACGCTGCCTTTTTGGTATTGCCAGTACATCCCAAGAAGAAGCATTCTGTAAGTACGTTTCAACAGAATCCTTAAGTGACGTCTCTGGACCTATGTCTGAAGCAGCTAGAGGAAGTGACCCCAGGCAGAGCTCTGGCCTCCAGTGAGTTAAAGGATAAAAAAGACCGTTCAGACTCTTTACCCTTCAGACATGTTGCCTCTAACCACCCCCAGGACAAGGCAGCTGTGTAGACAGGAATTGGAGGCTCCACCTCAACCCCACGCAATAGCAGCTGTGTGCCAGGTACTTCACCTCCATCACATCTAAAGATTACCATCAGCCCTGGAGGCAGAACTTATGAGGCCATTTTGTAGATGACAGAACTGAAACCAGGCTAAAGACTGTCCAAGACCCTACAGAGTGGAATCCTAGTCTATCAGCTCTGCCCCTTGGAGAGGAGCCCAAGTTGGTGAAGAGGTGAGGGCTCATCTGGAGAGACTTCAGGAGGGCTAGGCTGTGAGGGCGGGCTTGTCAGCTTCCCAGGGGCTCCTGAAAACTCTAAGGAAGTAGAAGAGAGAAGCAGGGTTTGCTGAATTTGGAGAGTATGCTCTAACCCAAAGCACAACTAGAATGAGTTACCGGTGTGGCCACAAGCTCCCCACTCCCATTCCCCATCCCTTATTCTCTCTCCCTTTCTCTTTTTTCCTCTCTCTCTCTCTCACACAGTGATTTCACTGTTAGAAAACCTGCACTGACAATAGCATATATGAATACTCATTGAGAATGATACATTGAAGAGAATCATCAACACCTTCTCAGGTACAAAGGACAAACTCAACTCCATCACTAAATAAGCCTAAGTATTTGTGTTTATTCTTCTCAAACACTGAGGAGCATTCCAAAAGACTGTCTAGATCTTTCTTGAAAATCCACTTGGCCCCTGCTGGGATTACCCAACCCTACTTGGAAAGGGGCGGCCCCGGCGTTAGCTGCCACTGGCTCCCCTTTCAGAAAGCAAGTCCTTTCATGAAGCTCAGCTGTTCCTCGGGCATCCAGTAAAGCTGGTCATGCAGAGGCAGAAGCTGCGACAACTGTTGGAAACCTTCAGCAGCAGCCTTTGGGAGCAACTCAACGTCCTCTGCAGTAGCCACTTCACGGACGGTTAAAGCAGCCTATTATTCAGTTTATATAAAACCCCCACCAGCTACATGGCACCAACAACTGAATATCTCCATTCTTATCAAGTTCACCACGTATTAGCCACTAACTTTAGAAACCGTAAACAACTTCATTAACCATCCAAATACATGGGCACAAAGGGAAAGAAAAGAGAAAACAGCCTTCCTGAGTTCTGAGTCCCAGAACTCAAAGATAGCTCCACAGGCAAACCACAGTATTTCAACATAGACAACAAACTCTCTCGAAGTCTAAGACGTTTAAGATTTGAAGAGCTTGATAAAGAGGGTCTCAGAGCCACGGAGACCACATCACATGCTTCTTTTAAAAAGAAGGGCCTCTGTGCCTTTTTCCCAACTAAGAATCTGTCCAAAGGATTGAAAAAAAAACACTTTAATATGCATTGCTTCCAAAATATTACACACTATTTCTCTAACAAATTTATGTGTGTTTCCAGGGAAATCCTGGACAAAAAAAAAAGTACTTAAGTAGAAAAATGTCTGGTGATTCTTGTATGCCAATATGTTAACAGACCTTCTCTTTTAATTGTTATTATTTCATATAGCAGCAGTAATCATTCCCTCCTCTGCAAAGGAAATATATAATCCAGCTGTAGTGGCTCCAGTAAAAATACCACATCTGTGGATCATTGGCAACACAGTGGAAGCTTGCTCAAATCTAGGCAGTCTGCGAGAGTTTTTTTTTTTTTTTTTTTTTTTTAACCAAAATACAGATGGGTACACTTTTCTAAAAGTGCATATAAACTTTGCCAAAACTGGTTGCTCCTTTGTGTGCTGAAAATAGGGTTTTTAGATTATCCACACCCATTAAAAAGGGGTTCTCTTGGAACATCATTCCCGGGACTCAGATGGTATAATGAGTCCCCAGACCCCTCCAGCGTGGTGGCTTGCGCCAGTGCCCTTGTCAATATCAAGTAGAACAGGGAAAATAAACGCTCCTGGTTGGTTTCAGAGAGAAGGTTCTACCGCGTGGCTGGCAGTGGAGCTGACTGCTGGTTTTCCACTTAGCAGAGAAACGTTTCCGCAGAGAGGATGGCAGCCACCGTTCCGGTCACTGATCCCTCCGTTCTCCAGGGTATGAAGTCAGAGGTATTAGAGCACTGGGTGATAATATCCCAGGAATCACTGCCTGCCCCCCAACTCTTCCGAACCAAGCGTCTGTTCAGTCGTTCCCCAAAGCCCAGTAGCAAGCATCTTATTTCTAAGCCAATTTTCCACATTCAAATCCCCAGCCCAAAGCGCGCCCTGGGGGTTTCTATACAAGACTTGTAAAAGAAAAAGCAGCATAGCTGAGCCTTGACAGACTTCTATCCCCACAACACATGCCCCGAGGGCTACTGTGCTGGAATGTCGATGGCCCGAAACACTCGGGTCCCTTTGCATCCCAGACAATAGAGCAAGAAAATAAAATGAAAGTGGACTTACTGCTATGGCTTGCAGCCTTTCCTTGTGCAATTCCGCCTCTGCCATCCTGGAGAAGGGCACACAGGGAGAGGAAAGAAGAAAGAAAAACAAATATACGCTGTAATCACTCAAGGAAATTGATGGGCACCCCGGGGGGCTTTGCTAGAACCCGGGGAGAGCCGAGGGACGGCCGGATCCGCTCAGGGGATTGCGGGCAGAGCTGTGCGCGCGGCTGGCTCGCCCGCCTGGCTGGCTCGGGCTCAGCCTCTGGCCCCCGCCCGACCGGCCGCCTGGCTGCGCCCCAGCGCCGCCGCTAACTGCATCTCCCCGCCGCCGCCGCCGCCGCCGCCGGCTGCGCTAGTTGGGAACGTGGGCCGTGGGCAGCCTCTGGGAGGGCGCGCTCGCCCCGTCCTCGTTCTCCGCCCTTACGTCTCGGCGCCTCGCTCCGCCCCTGGGGTGTGCAGGACCCACGGCCGCAACCGCGGCCCCCGGCGGCTCTGGACCGGCAGGAGACGTTGGGGCTGTTACTGCGGGGAGGGAGTGGGTGGTTCCAAAGGTGCCGACAGGCAGCGCGCGTGCGGGTGGGCACCTGGAGCGCGGGCGCACAGCGAGCCGCTAGGGCGCACGGCTGGCGCGCCTGGGTGGACACGCGCTCTGCGGGGCGCGAGCAGGACGAGGAGGCGCCTCCGGGGAGCAGATGCCAACCCAGAGGCCTCTGGTAGAAAGCCGGGGCTTGGCGGGGAGGCTCCGAGCACGCGCCCTCATCTACCAGTCGTGGCCGCGGAGTCTTCCAGCTGCCTTCTAGCTCATGCCAGATGCTTGGGCTCCACGTGGGGACATTTCCAATAGGGACGGGCCGCCTGGCTTTAGATGGCCGGGTCCTCAAATATTAAGGCCGCTGGCCCGATGTATAACTCAAAACAGGCCTCTGCGAGGCCAAAAGTGCTTGTAGTCCTGGGTGCTCAACTAGTCTGGGCTAAACAACTTACTGTGAAACCTTGGGCAACTCACTTAACCACTTTGAACCTCAGTTTTCTCATCAGAAAAATGGAGGATCACAATAGTAACCCTCACAAAGCTGTCAGTAATGAATGAGATAAAGTATATAAAGGTGCTTTATTGTAGGTGTGTTAACAGGCATATATATGTAAAGGGCCATCTGTTCTATCATTACCCTGCGACATTCTAGGCTGAAGTTCGTTGAGGGTCTGTACTTCAATACAGTCTCTAGAAGGAAAAGTACGTTCTGGTCATGAAAATACTTCACCTCTTCTTCCCCAAGACAGACGACAGTGCTAGAGTGCATCTTTTGTGACAGACAGATCCTGGGCAGGATATAAGAGATGGATAAGACCAGTCCAAAAGGAAATAAACGCTAAAAATCAAACAAAAACACTTCTTAACATTCAGGATGGACCTGCCAGAATCCCCAACATTTGTAAGCAGACTTTTCCTCCAAAAAAATAAACACCAAACCTTACCCCGCACCCCGCACCTCCCCCCCTCATGTGCCCTCTTTAGGTCCTTGATGCTTCTCTAAATGCAGGACTTAAGAAAGCATTTAAAAGTTATGCACATGAAATTTCCCCAGATCTCTTTCCTGGGCAAATACTTGTCTCTTGATGAGCAATTACTACCCTGCCTGAAGACCAATGCAGTCACCAAAACAATTTTACTGACTGACTGGTTTTTCTTCCTTTTCAGAATGGGTTGGGGGGGGGGGGGTTTGGTGGAGCCGTTTGTGTCATAAAGCCACGCCGATGCCAGATGGGACAGTCCCACTCCAGGATACTCAGAACTTCTACTTCTGGCTCAGACCCAACATCATCTTCAAACCGTTCATTTTCTCTCCACTTTCAGCACCAGCTCACACATGAACAAAACTGTTATTTCTTCAGCAGAGTGGCTGCGTACCCAGCAAGAGTAGAAAATACCAAGATGACAAAAGTGGGGCCAGCAAAGTGGAGAGACTTAGCCAGAGTCGCACAATAGTGTGAATGACTTAATGCCACAGAACTGTATGCTTGAAAGTGGTTTAATAGGTACATTTTATGTTATAAATATTTCACATAAAATTTGTAAAAGGAGTCACGGAAGAGGAGATGGGGTAGAAGGGCCTGAGCACCCTTTTTAAAGGTGACCCACTAGAAAGATCTGAACCTCGTGTTAGAAGAATCAGGATTCATGACGCATATTTGGGTACTATTTACTTTGAAGTTACAGCTAAAGAAATGAGAATGGCCAGAGGGAGGAAAGAGAACAAGAAGGGGAGAAAGCCCAGTCGAGACATCCGAGAAAGTACCACCTGAGAAGTAGGAGGAAAAAATAGGAGGGGTTTCCAACAGGGTCAGATGCTCCTGAGATGTCAAGGACACAAACTAAGAAGGGGCCGTTGGCTTGAGCAGTCAGGAAGCCATGGGTGACACTGCAAGAGTGGTGTGTGTGTGTGGAGGATGGACCTGGAAGCAGTTAGAGTTGAGAATGAGTGGAAGGTGGGGAAGAAGCATCCATGAGTACGAAAGACTCCTTTCAAATCTTTGGCTGTGAAGAACGAAGGGGTGGGTGGCAAGGGGTATAGGAAGGTGGTCTATGGGAAGCAGCGTCAAGGTAAGAGCTATTAGGTCAGGTGAGATTCGAATGTTTCAGGGCCAATGGGAACTAGGTGTCATGGAAATGAGGTCAAAGACACAGTCAAAGGGAAGATAAGTATTAGATAGATCTCGGATTAGACCAAAGAGCATCCACCACGGCCTCAGGAAAAAGAAATAACAAAGTAGGGCAGGAGGATGGAGTCAGTGAAGATGAGAAGAAATCTTAAGTGGAAGAAGAGAAGCTGATCATGAGAGAGTGTGCATTAGGTGGCCTACTTTTCCCAACTGATGGAAGGGTCCTTGGTTGAGACTGATGGCATAATGGAGAGGGAACTCAAAAAAGTAGAAATGATTTGTAAAGAAGCCATGGGAAATGGGAACAAAATTGCAACATGTTTCACAACCAGAAGTATGCATCAGAATCTCCTGGAGCACATGTCTCTGAATAAATGTACAGGTTTAAATTTCTATGGGGTGAGGAAGGGGTTGGCGGTTTAGAACCACTGTACTGAGTTTACTAGAAATAGACAAAAGACTCATGACCAATTGTGAGTACTTTCTCAGTGGTTTTTAAACAGCTGAGATATTAACCAACTGAGACCCATGATACGCAGTGAATGTGTTTACTCAGTATTGAGGGTAGTCGGAGTGGGTATGGCAAAGAGTCAAAGGAGAGCTTTGGCCAGCTGGAAGTACAGCAGAATCTTTGATACATTTTGGCTCCCTAACTTGTGAACCCCTCTCCATCTTTGGGGAATTCCCATATTACAAGCCATAGTGAGAGTCAGAGCCGCCTCTCATAGAAGCTGGGAAGTGCCAGACACTGCATCCTCACATCCTCTGGAACCTACCACAGGGCAGGCAGTCTGGGCACAGTCAGGCGTGTGCGCCTGTCGAGGATCTTGAAGACACAGCATTAGAGAATTCTTTCAGGTTAGTAGCTCGTCTTTGGTCCTGCCCATTGCTCAAGCCTGCTTCTCTAGCCTTCTCAGCTGTTCTGCGAGCTACTTTAATGCTCTTTCAATTCATGCCTTCTCCGGTCCTATCCGCAGGCATGTTTCTGTTGCTTGGGCTAAGAATCCTAAATGAAACAAAAGCATGGGGAGGCATCTAAAATACATGGCTACTGCCTGGCCAAAAAGCAAAGGGAAAACATTCTCTCCTCTTCCAGCACTTCTCCCCTCAAACGTCTTAATTTTAGCATTTTATAATCATTGAACCCATTACAAACACACACCTTTATAACCCCAAATTTGCCACTTCTTTCCTAAACTTCTATTGTGTTGTTTATTCTATACCAGACATGAGGCTACAGCAAGGAAGTCCTACTCCAGTGTTAATATCGGTGACTTTTTGCCCTCCACACATTTAAAATCTGGAAAGATCTATTACAATAGTGCATAATGCATGTAACAAATCACTGGTTCATGCTAGGACATTAAATTGTGTTGCATAAGAACCACCTGTATTGTTTAATGGTTTTTCTGATGGATGTTGCATTGCACAGCATTACAAGAGAGAATACAGAATGCTAGATTTGCAAAATAGATGTTTTGTTAATAAAAATTTCAAACTCTATTTTAGGGTATGAGTCTTTTGGGAACTACAAATGATCACAGCCTACTCCCCTGTGGGGAAAACAGGAGCTCTATAAACTATAAGGGAGATAACTTGCCAAAGCTCATTGAGTGAGTAAATGTCGAAGTCTTATTGAGCAGCAGCAAAGAGTGTAAAATTTCATAGTAACTTGAAGCTTTCCTTTGACAAAGCAATTTTTAAAGGAACGCCAGCGTCCTCTAAAATGTTTGTCTTGTATCAGCTCTCTTTTGCCTAGGACCTGGTAGAATGAGTGGTCATTCCAAACATATGAGATGGCCGCACAGAGTTACAAGGAGGGGAACAGTGCTTGGAGCCCTTTTGGCCCCTGTGGTTGTGAATAATTTCGGAAAGTTGATGGGATTTCAAGTATGTGCTGTTTTTAACGATGAGGTTCAAATGACAGATTCATACAGGGAGTGCCTGTGGTATAAGGAGACAGAAAGAAGTTAAGAGAACAAAGTTAGAAAACAAATCATTTCTATTTTTCTGAGTTCCCTCACCATTGTGCCATCAGTCTCAACCCATGAGCCTTCCATCAGCTGGGAAAGCTAGGCCATCTAATGCACACTCACTCACTACCAACTTCACCCTTCTGCACAGGCAATAAGCTAGGCTGGGTGGCACATAAGGCGTACGTGGCTAGGGTCTCCGCATAGCAGATTCAATATGAGCAACCGGGAATCTCTCTAGAAATGAGCGCTTGCATTTCCGTTTGCGGGTTTCCTTTGCTCTGGGTTAGCTTTGGCTGTGTCAGTGGACTGACTTGTGAGTCACAGAGGAACTGAGGTGTTACAGGAGTATTAGGAATTATAGCGGGATAGTGAGTGAGTGTTCTTCATTTACCTTACTAAACATTCAGATGTTTGTTCGTAATAGT